AATTTATGTTGGATGATAAAGTCATATTGAAAGGATAATGATAGGTGCACGTAATGGATGAACACACTGGTTACGTGTTAGTTTATCACTCAAATAATTAACCATTAAATAAACTCTCAAAACTTCATTCTTCAGTGAGGTAAAAAGCTCCAGAATCTGTACAAGGATTCCGATGACAATACCGATGAATTTGCTTTTTTAATCGACGGCTCCGCCGATATTCTTTTGTTTGTTGTCATGATACCAAAACTAACAATTACCAGCAGCACCGTCCTCCGCTGCGCCGAGCATGTGAAAGATTTACATACCCAAAGATGAACAATTTCTTTATAATGGGAGGAAGAAGAGCATCATTCGACACCCAAGCTGCATCGTCTGAAATAATTACCAATCACTACTTTTTATAGCTTCATCGTTGGGGTGCTCTGAAGTACTGGACCCTAATTATATATAATTATCATGGCATCTCAACTTGAGGAAGACATGAATATTTGCCTGATGTTTTTGTATCAGATCATCCTCGTTGTGTCTTCATTGACAGAGGTAAAGCTTCAACCTTGCGGCCTTGCAAGGTAGGATATAATTTCTCCTTGTATCATCTAATTGAAAAGGGTATTGAACTTCAAGAACATTTGGCCTAATTTCTCCTTGTGTCATCTAATTTCCATTTTCTTTTTTACGTATACTTAGTTTTCCATTCTTGATATTATACTCGTTGACAAGACAAGGTTTGAGTTCGAGATCTCTCTCTTGTTCTACAGTAGCAGCAAGTTATAACTAACTTGTTGGCTACAGGAAATGGAAGTGCGGACTCAAACTAGCCGGAGTATTCAATTGAACATCTAAATTTTGCATAAATTAATTATGATCACTTGTTACAGAATCTCGAGTAGAAGTATGAGAAATAAAGTTCTACAGATGAAAAATTAGTGTAACATAGTTATTATATATATAAAAAGGAAAATAACGAATAAAATAACTCTTGTAAATCATTCCTTCAAATAGATGAACGCATGCCCACCCCTGCAAGTTTTGTTATAGTTCATTACTAAGCCCTACAATCTTTTTCAGGGAAATAGCTCGAATTTGGAAGAGGCTCGTCAAGGCAAACCTTCAAAATCTATAACATATGTGGTTTGATTCAAAGCTGACCTAGGTATAGCGTGGGCCACTGCATTGAAAGTCCTGGTTTCTAGGTTGGGTTAAAGGTCCAGCATGCCTTTCCAAATCAGGCCTAGACCAAAAACATCGTATTTCATGTCTGTTTGAAATTGAAAGCGTGGTAGATGGTGATTTTTTTATTTTTTTTAAATTTTTATATTAAAATGATTAAGAAATATTAAAAAATTAATTTTAAATAAAAAATTAATTTCTTCGCAAAAAGCATTTTTGCCGCCAAACGTCACCAAAGGATCTTTGAATCGGGGTTGTTGATGCTTTTGTGACGAGCATTGTGTTGGGTTGTGTTGCATTATATATTAAAAGTACTGTTAGTAAAAAAAAAAAATCACAATTGATTGTTATGCATCTAAATAATAAATCTCACTATTTTTATATTGTATTTTTACTTAAGAAAATAGTCCATCCAATAATTAAAAAAAAATGATAAATTATGTTGTTATATGTTTAAAGAGAATCTCTCTTTAAAGTTTAACTAATTATTTTTGTATTTGAGGTTTTGGTAAAGGGATTTTTTTTTTTTACACCTGAATTTGATTTTCATTATATATGTTTATCACCTTCATAATATTTTAATTATTTGTTGGGCTTATAAGATATTTAATAAATTCAAAAATTAATAGTAATGTACATAAAGTGACCTGGACATTCCAAGTAAAAAAAAAACCAATTGTCCTTGATCATTACAGTGTTACAGCTTTCAGGAACATATCAGGGAAGAAAAAAAAAAAAAAAAAACAAGGACCTCTTTAGTTTTTACAGTCCGCTGGTTCCACGAAGGAACGAATGCAGAAATCAAATGGGGTTGATTACAAGAAATGAAGAGTGAAAGAGCAGCCATTTGCTTTGACTCCATTGATCAAAATTTGTTGCTTTCGATGTCTTTTCTTCCTCTTTACAGATTGATGGAGTGTGCTAAGGCCATTGAAGGTGGTAACTTGGATGTTGCAGATTCACTTTTGGCAGAAATTCCATCTCTAGCTCCTAAAGAAGAGAGCATATCGACGAGGAAAGTTGTCACTTAATACTGTGCTGAGGCTCTTGCCCGGCGTGCGTGTCTGTGGAATTCGTCCTCCATGGATCCTTTACCCTTGCTACCTCCATGCTCTCCATCCGATCGATTACATGTATTATCCTTTCGACCGGTTTGCTGAAATCACTAGATATTTCGTTGCTGATGCCTTCAGTTCGGGAAATAACGGACTCCACATTATTGACTTCTCCATCATGTTCGATCCCGGGCGTTGGATTTATTAATTAATTGAAGAGCTCAAAGGGCAATGTGCAAGGTGGCCTACAATCAGTCATAATCAAATAAAGGTTTTTGTCCCATTAGTATTAGCTCAACATGTAATTAACATACAAGTGATCCTTGCATTTTTAACCTCTAAAAGTGGATGAAATCTGGAAGAAGAGAAAAAAAAAAACCATGCCCCTCTTTTCCGTAGATATGAGGGTAACGTGGGAGGGTGATAGTGGAAGAAGAGAGCTGCCTGGTTGCATGCATGTCACAGTCTCAGTCTAAATCGCAATCAGAAAAGGGCGTTGGTCTCTAGCTAGGGTGAACTACGGCATGCATGAGCATCCCTTAATGTTATTTCACTTTGTTAGATTCTTGATCTGGGATCATTTTTAATGCTTGCGATGTGGAATGCAACCACCATACTTAAGGCTCAAGAGTGAAGACTGTCACGTTGTCTATGTCTACAAATGCAGCATCCGATTAATGCGATTTAAATCAAAGTTAAATATCTTTAATCATTACAGATTATCAAAATAAATTGGTGTAGACACTTTCCGTATCCATCAAAATCTGAAATAACCACAGAAGCTAGCGTAAAATCTCATCTCCCATGAAAGAAATGTATGCTCACAGTACGTATTACACTGCAAGTCACTTGTAGAAATCAGGAAATTCACACAAATGTCAATTATATGCTAACAGATCATCCCATCATGCATTGAGCACAGATAACAAGAAAGTTGTTAATAAAATAAAAATTAAAAAAAAAAACTTTTGGACTTTGATGGGATTATTGGGATTTTGCATGGTGCTGAATTTAATACAATTGATTAAAAATCCCGTTGTCGGCCACTGCTCTCTTTAACCAACACTTACCTACCCTTGCATGTTGTGGCCCTTAGGTTTTACCAGCTCCTTGCAATGATTCATTAACCTCATCCATTATCCCGCAGGAAATTAAAAGAATTTTGTTTTTTTTTTTTTAAATCAAATCGATTTTAACTAGATCGATCTACCAGATTTAATAGAATCAACTCACTTTGTTTAACTTAAGTATAATAATAACACTGCATATAATATTTAGATGGAGTGATTTACTCGACCTATAAATGTGTATCGGTGGAGTTACCACTAACCCTTCATTGTCAATGAAAGAAAGGGCCTCCGCATGCGCCGAATTGGTGCTGAAGTCAAAATTGATAGGCACCAGTTCAGTGCCAAATTAATGCAAGGTTGGGATGATTAAGCTACCTCCTGATTATTTTTTCATTTAAAAAGTATTTTTTAAAAAAATTAAGATTTTTTATTTTTTATTTTAAATTGATTTTTTTAGTGTTTTCATATATACTCTGGTGTCAAAAAAAAATTTTAATATATTTTTAAATAAAAAATACTTTAAAAATAATTAAGAATACAAACAAATAAAATATAGAATAATTTAATCAACATCCCCTCTTAATTTTGGGCCGTCATGATCTTAAAGCCCTGCATTTAGTGTTCATCCGTCTTCTGTCTTATTGTAACTGTAGCCGAGACCCTGGTTGGTAGATTTGGTGCTAATTCGATGGGCCTCAGTTTTAATGCATTTGGTTTGAATTAAACTTCATGAGTAGGTTTCTGACAAATTTCGTCAATGATGGTGCATTGCTACTAACTGGTTCCATTTAATTATCCATCAATTAGTTTGTATTGGACCTTAATGATTATATTAATGAAATTAAAATTAAACTTAATGCTGCATGATTTGTTTGAAGGAAAATGTTCTTCTTTTTTATATTTTAGTTCAACTTAAAAAAACAGATAATTAGTTTTTAAAATTATGATAGATATTATTTTTTAGAACATATTTTACTTGGAAATATATTAAAATAATATTTTTTATTTTTTAAAAATTATTTATAACATTAATCTATCAAAATAATTTGAAAATATAAAAAAAATAATTTTAAATAACTTTTTTTAGTTCTTTGTAAACTCCGCTTGGGTCGTGTTCCAAAAGCTCTTCCTTGCAAACATAAAACTAGAGCAGCTTATAAATTTTACCCTTAAATTATTAAGCAAGGACAGAGCAATCTGATGAGGTAACCACTGGAAGTCTGCAAATCTAGTTGCTGATAGGTAAGGGCAAATTTATGAACCATTTTTCTTGTTGTTAGGATTACAGGTAAAATATTGTATTCTTGAACGGAGGCTGCTGGTATAAACCAGTGAAGTCAGACCAAACAGAGCTGGCATCCCAGCTGGGCATTGGCTTTTGCTATCATGGCAGAAATTAAATGGCACATAAACATGGTGCTACTGTAACAATCCTTTTCAAGTTTTTGGCCATGGCAATTGACATTCTAGAGGGTTTCAAGGTTCATGTCCGCTGCCTGTTCCTAGAGGGCATCCCAAAATTAATGATGTTCTTAACCACTAATTATTGAGACACAAATTAAGGCTGATTTTTTTGACCAAGCTCAACCTCCACATTCCTGTCATTGTCAATTTCAACTGCCATCCAAATTTCATAAAAAGATAACACTTTTCCTTCCCCACTAACCCGATTCATTTACTTGACCTTCTTATCTGTTTATGTATATCTCAAGGACCACTCTTCACATGCAGGCATATCTCATATAGCATCACCACACCTTACATTTTTGCATCATGTAACACAGCCAAAATTTTATTATCTTTGGCTATGGACTGGTTCTCTTGGTTGTCAAAAAGCAGCCTCGAGCCCTCACTAATCTATGAGTATGGTCTTGCCTTTGCTCGTAATGAGCTCCAAGCAGAGGACTTGACGTACTTGAACCATGAGTTTCTTCAAAGTATGGGTATTTCAGTAGCCAAGCATAGGCTAGAAATACTCAAGCTTGCCAGGAAGGATGTTGGGGGAGGTCCACATAGCCTCTCCAAGTTCATTAAGGCAATCAACAAGACCAAGAAGAGCATCCAGAAGTGTATCAATAAGTTGGTTTTTCATCGGGATTCTGCAGCATTCAAGGCTGAACTAGAGCCAGAGCTAGCAAGATATCAAGGACAGTGGAGAAGAGGAGCATTGACAAGGAAGTACAGGAGTGAGAAGGAGTTGATCAAAGTAGAGCAGCCTCCGATACTCAAAATCAGAAGGCAAGCAAAATCTGGTCCTTTGGATACTAGGATGCAAGAGAATTTGATGCATGCCAATAGATGCTTGAAGCTGTCTGGGCCTCTGGATGGGAAAGTGCAGGAGAGATTGGTGCTTGCTTACAGGAGCCCAAAATTATATGGGACATCAGATGGAAGGGTGCCACAAAGTTTGATGATGACTAATAGGAGCCCACAAGTACGTAGCCCCTTGGATGCAAGATCCACAAGCCCAAAAATTCACTGTGATTACAGCAAGGAAAGAAGAGGACTAAACGGTGATTTTGACGATCAATCACTTTGGTCTGCACTTTTTCAAGACATGAAACCCACTTAATCGAATAATTGTTTTCTTGGTGTGTCTTCCTTTTTTTTTTTTGGTTCCCAATCTTGAAACAAACTCTTGTATGCTTATGTACTCTTACTTGCATCTCTCCTTCAGCGTGATTTGGAGGTTTACCTTCAGACATCAAAACATAGTATGGCATTCTTTGGTTTCAATAATTTGGTATTCATTTGGCACTGTTGCTTCCACCAAATCATTCTTCAGCTCTAATCCTGCTTCTTCTTTTTTGCGTTGGAGCTGAAATATTTAAGTTGAAGGACAAAAGTTTAGATAAGTTAGAGATTCATGGACCCAGTGACGAGGATATTGTCCTATTCTAGTCAGTTTGGCCGCCCAATCAGTTGCTCTATCAGCAGTTCTAGCTATTTTTCAAACCCAACTATGAACAAAATTATGCATGAGAGCTCTGTTTTTTAAATCTGTGAGTGATGGGTCTAGACAAAACAGTCCTTGTGCATTTCACATCCCGGGTGTTGGGTTAAAGATACGGCATAGGGGTCTCCTCACTCCTACGCATGCTCCACGAGGCATGGTTTAATGTTTAAGGAAATCCAAAGTTGGTCTTTCCTCCTGGTAGAGCTAGGACGAACAGTACCCAAACTCAAGGCCAGCTCTTAGCTTTTTTTCAGATTGGCCTAGGACAAGCTATGCCCGAATCCAAGATCATCTCTTAGCCTTCTCTTAATTAAACTCGATCACTTTTACATCTTTACTTGATGATCCCCTACATTATGCATAGGATTTGTTTTGCATGAGATTATGACTCTCACGTCAAACTCTTCTCTAACAATTTCAAAGCTCATCAACTAGTCTTGAAAAAAGCTTAGCATCGTTTACTACAGACTCTCTCGCTAAGAAATGAAGATTGTATGAGAATCAAACACATTCAACTGCCACTTCTTCTGCAACCGCGGCCGAGGAAACTTTAGCCATTTGAATACTACAAATGGTCCCTATACCTGCCAACTATTTGCATACGTAAATGATGCTTCGAAATTGATCTTAATCTAGCTTTTTTGAGGAAGGACCCATCTGCTCTGTATTTGATGAGCAGCCACGGTTGGAGGCCTTGGTTCAGGGTCAGAATGGGAGAAGTTCTGTATTTACTCTGCTTGTTTTATTGCTTGGGCTGCTGCCTTTTCTGGCTACAAGTTCCTCTTGTTGAAAACAAACTAATTTTTCGCCTTCCATTTAGCTCAACAGAGCTTCTAACTGCTACTCTGGCCTACAATATTCAAGCTGCATCTCATCAAAGAATCAATGGTGTCTTGTCCCATTTGGTGTTAAAGACCTTTTCTTACCTGATTCTAAACTCTACTACTTCAAATCAGTTACAATGGCCAAGTTGTGCGCGGCGCCTTGGGTGTAAATTTAGAGCTTCTATCAAATCCAATCCTATCGTAGACGGAAAGTATATCGATAGAGGAACTTATTGGTTACTGAAAAAAATGTAAAGAAATGATTTCTTCATCACAAATTTGCTATGTCCATTCAAGGAAAAGAAAAAGAAAAGGAAGCACTTGTATAAAGAGCACAACACAAGTTTTCAAACATAACTTGTACTAATACGATAAGATTGAATTCAGTCTTGAATTTGAAAAGTAGAAACACCACACATGCTAAAAATATCTACACAAAAGGTTTCGGACCTCTAACCAGGATGGCATATGACGATTGTCCACAAAAAAGTAGTAGCAATTATTGATGCTTTGTTTAATGAAATAAAACCATGCTCGTCTCCAGTTGGGGTTTATGTACAAAATTGCAGCTGTTACCAACAGCATCATGATGTATGTCACAACAAAGCTCACATAGAAAACATATGTATCCATGAAGCCACTTTCTTCTATATCATCCGTTGAAGCCCTTTTTGGTAATGACGAAGCTTCTTCTTCTTGGGTGGTGCAATGTCTTGAGAGTGGTGGTCCACAAAGGAGAGGATTTCCCTCATAGCTACTCTTGTTGAATGTTGAAAATTGTGGAATCATATCAGGTGTCCTACCAGATAGGTTATTGTGGGCTACACTAAAAACTTCCAGAGAATGCAATTGTACAAGTCCAGGAGGGATAGCCCCAGTCAAGCTGTTATTGGAAAGATCCAAGCTCTCAACTTCACTCAAGTTTGAAAAAGTTTGTGGGACAGGACCTGTCAAAAAATTATTTGACAGGTTCAGTACATGGATATGATTAAGGTTTCCAATTTCCGGAGGAATCTCACCTGTCAAATTGTTGCAAGAGAGATCCATTCCAGACATGATGTTCAAAATGCTTATCGGGTAAGAATAGGATACACTCTTTGTTGTAATCTCTAAAGGCTCTCGAATCAAATACCTATGAGGATATATTCTAAGATAGCTGTACCAAATACTGCTTCTAAATCTTAGACAAGGGAGGATCTGACCAGAAAACTTATTATGAGAAAGATCAATGAAACTCAATTTGTCCAACTTGCACAACTGGATGGGTATTCTGCCTTCAAGGTTGTTATAACCTAAGAGAAGATAGCTCATGTGGGAAAACTCACCAATCCATTCCGAAATGCTGCCAGTCAATCGATTATGGCTAAGATCCAATGTAATCAGCTCAAAGGAGTTATGAAATGCATCCTCCAAAGATCCCTGTAATTTATTTTGTGACAAATAAACATGAACTAGTGGCAAAGAGCTAAAACAAGATGGCAGCTTTCCAGAGAAGTTGTTTTCTGAGAGATCCAAAACTTGAAGAGAAGACATATTGCCAATCGAAGAGGGAATGCTACCGTTGAATTGGTTGTTAGACATGGATAAAAACGTCAAACTTGGGAAATATGCTCCAATTTCTGTTGGGATGTGGCTGTCCAAGTGATTGTCAGAAATATCTAATTGTGACAAACTCACATGGGGATGAATTGGCAACTGGAAAGGTCCTGAAAGAGAATTGTTGACCAGGAAAAGTTCATATAGGTTTGTGTTGTTCTCTAGCAACCAATTTGGAACGCCTCCCCTCATTTTCATGTTAGAAAAATAAATCTCCCGCAAGTTGTGTTGATAGAAGAGGAATTTGGGAAAGGGCAATGCTCCACCATATGCTTGACCAGATAAATGAAGTCTCTCTAGTTGGAACTTTGGGATCAAATTGTGCTCCTCTAGCTCTGCACATATTTCATTATTATAACCGAAGAAGAATTTGAGTTCAGAATGGTTGGAAAATGACCTCAATGAGATGGGAATTTGAAAGTGATTGTCCGAAAGTCTTAATTCTTGGATGGATGTCAGAGTTATAAGAGGAGACGAGGAAATATCTCCCACAAAGTCATTGGAAGAGAGATCTATTTGTTTCAGGGATGTCAAATTTGCCAAACAATTAGGCAAGACACCGTTGAGACTATTATTGCTGATATCAAGACTATGAAGATGCTTTAACTCGCATAGACCTGAGAATTATCAATTTACAAAATATTTAACATGATAAAAAAAGAAGGAGAGAGATCAGCAAGAGAGATCAGAAAGGACCATCAGACTTACCCTCGGCTATAGGTATGTTGCCACTGAGTCTACAACCATTCAATTTTAAACTTGTCAGAGTGGTAATCCTTCCTATTGTTTGCAGAAAGCTATTATCGAGAGTAGAGGAACTCAGATCCAACTTTTGCAAATTCTTGAGAGAAGGCAAGGCTACGATTAATCAAACCGACAAGAAATGATTAGTATATTTTGAAGAGGATAAAGTAAGGGATACCAATTAGGAGAAGCTCGATCAAGTCTCTATAGCCAAATTAGACATCAGTACATATTGCAACTCACCTTGAGCTAATATTGTTTCTTCGAAATTATTGTTCCCCAGATCAAGTGTCTTGAGGTTTGGGAGTTTTGCCAATGATTGCAGTAATGGGAGTGAAATTCTTCTTCCATTTGCGGTGATATTAAATAAACAAACTCTGCTTAGATTTCCGAAACCTCTAATACCTGCAAGAGAGAAGAGAAACAAAACAAGTTTCACACCTTACGAGCAAATCAAAATCGTCCTTGCTGCATGGAATCTTGGGTAAAAAGTTAGGTGGGTCGATCGATCCGTGAAGCCACCATCGTTCATGTGGAATATTTAAGTAATACCTTCTGAGAACACAAACTCGTCAATCTCATTTCCGCTGAGATACAGCTTCCTCAAGTTGCTCAAAGCTTCCAGTTCTAGGTTGCAGGAAAATAAAACTGATTAGGTCACAGCAAAGCCTTGGAACTCATTTTTTGAAATGGAATAACGTGTGAGCAATAATTGGTTTATAAACCTTTCATATTGAATGTTCCTTTCAGATGGTTCTTTGTCAGATCGAGATTCTTGAGAGATGAAAGACCCTTGAAGGATGATAGGATACTGTTATCAAAGCGATTACCTCCCAACTCAAGATACTCCAAATTGCTCAGTTTCAGCACTTCATCCTCACCACCTGTAAGAAATAATTGTACAAGGTTTGATGTAAAAATAGCGAAACTGTGAAAAGATATGCGTAACTCAAAAATCTTTCGTACCATGCAGGGATTTAAACCCTTCAATGTGATTGCTCGCAATATGCAGTTTCCTTAAGTTTGTCAGATTATTCAATCCTGGAAATACGTAGAACATAAATTCATGCTATATATAATTGCTTTGGAATCACGATTATGTTTGAGACAATTCGTTTAAAAACTGAGATGAGAAAAGCCAGGCTCACCTTCCACGCTTATTGTTCCTTCGATTTCATTATTGTGTAGAGATAAATATTTCAAAGATGAAAGACCACCTAAGGATGAAAAGATGTTGCTGTTGAATTTGTTTTGGCCTAACTCGAGTATCTCCAAATTGCCAAGGACTGATAGTCTTTCAAAACCTGCATGAGAGTGCATGGTTAGCGTTTAAAGTTACAAAACATGTATCAATTTCTAAAATTGCAGCTAAGAGGCAAACCTTCATTCTCAAGACATCCAGCAATACGATTTCCATACAAGTAAAGAGCGTTCAGTTCGGGGAATGGAAGAAACAAAGACGCATTCAGGAGCAAGTCTCCCAGCTCCCAACCCCTTGAGAAAGAAAGGTCTATTTTGACAACTCGAAGTGTGCTGGAGTTGCAGTGGACTTGTGTCCATTCGCAGCAGTTAGCATCTCTTCCCCATGAGAGCTGGAATCTCCCATTTGGGTAACTAAAGGCATCTTTGATTTGCAAGAGAGCAACTCTTTCTTCTTCCAAACAACCATGGCACCGCCACCCTTGTATTAAAACCACCACATTTATAATCATTATCACTGCCAAACACAACCTGTTCAACTCCATTTGAAGAACTTTGCTATTAACTAATTCTCAGAAAAAAAAACAAAATACACCTCTGTCGCCATTGAAAGTAACTGTCAGAGGTTCTCTTATAGGATAGGATAGCGCAAGGCTGACGTTTTCATAAGACCACGGGCCTCCGGTTTGTAGAGAAATTAACGAGAATTACTCCGTGTAATGTTTAACAGATTTTCTTTTTATTTTTTATTTTTTTATTTTTACTTTCAAGAACGTATACGTAAGATCTACTTTGTTTGACTTCTCATAGGCTGGTTTCAGACTTGGCATGCGTTTTCTTTGAGAAAAAAAGATAAAATTAGATATATGCCCTGTTACTGCTGCATTCAGCGAGCCTCAACTGCACTGTACATAGTTAAATAAAAAATAAATTCTAGAAAGTTCTCTGTTGCAGCATCATGGGTAATATTTCTTGAAAGAAATAGTAAAACAAAATGGTATTTTATTGTTCATTCTACTACGACGCCTGATAGAGCGTGTTTAGATGCACTATGCACTGTTACAGTGATTTTAGCCCACCATTCTTTTAGTCATTTCAATATTATCGAGATTTATTTTTTAATTTTATCATTTCATATTATTTTATATGATTTCAAAACTTATAATTTTATTTTTTTTACAAGTTATGATGTATTCATGATATAAAAAAGTCATCGCTTGATCTTTGATATTTCAAAATATAATTTAATTTCATCAATTAAAAAAATTGAAACAAAAAGGACAAGATTTTAACACTTGAAAAAAAAAACAGCTTTTTTTTATTGTTCATTGGACATGAAAAACTATAGTTTTATCCTTGGAATTTTTATTATTTGTTTTCTATGTTTTCAAGGTTTTATATTTCAGTTGTAAACTTTATTTATTTTATGTTTAAAAAGAGAAAGCCATTGAAATAAAAAATATATATAAAAAAAGAGAAAAGAATGATTGATTAGCCGCATTTTGGCCACCAAGAAATTTAATCTTAATGTTAATACGTTTGTATTAAATAGAGGATTTCGATGGAGATAATATTGTTTTTCTTTGAACATGTCATAATAAAAAGATTAGTTAAAAAACAATGCTTCTCATTAAAAAAAAAAAACATGATTTCATCAAAATAAAAATAAAATGCATGAATAAAAAAATTAGATTTTGGTTAAAAATATGTGGTTTTTTTGTCTTTTTTAGTTAAAATCAATATTGTTTTCTAAATATTTCCTTGATTGTTGTTTCTTTTTATTTGACAAACTATACCGCTAATAAAAAAAAAATTGTTGTAAAAAAATCATTTGAATAAAAAAAAATAATTTTGAAAAAAAATATATTTTTATTAATAATTTTATTTCTTGTTTTTTTCAATTAACAACTATTTTTATTGTGATATAATTACGTGTGACAGCTCACTTAAACTATCACTAGTGTTTACAATTTCCATCTATCAATGCCTATTATATATCTTGTCTCTCCAAAGCTGACATTCTTGTAACCAGTATAAACTATCACACCAAAATCTAGAATTTCATAAATAATAAATAATTAAAAGGGCATTATAATTATACGAGAAAACCAATCATGAAATGATGAAGAAATTAAAGTCAAGTCACATATTCATAACAAAAAAGATGAAAATGGATGGTCCACTCAAAAGTTTATCCTCCTGCAAATTAAGAAAAACGATTGCAAATTAACAAATTTATCTAATTTAGTTTCCATTTAAACTAATATATTAACTCATAAGTGATAAAATGTAGATCTTATAAATCTTAAATGATTTTTATTTTAAAAAAAAAGTAATTAGGTGTTTGTATGAGAAATTTATATGAAAAACTGTCTTGATAATGCTTTAGTTTTTACGAAGAAAGGATTTAAAAGTAATTCCTTGCTGCCTAGCTGGGTAATTGCATTGCAACTGCACTTTGAAATGGCATAATTTCCCACCGACTACACCGTGGCTGGAGGGTTGGTGGATATCTACATCCACTGGCCACATCTTCCTCGCCTAAAAGAGGAGATTTAGACCTTGACTTGGAGTCAATTCTCCAAAAATTATCAACCGTTTACTCTGGGCTTTTTATTAGAAATTAAGCTCGGTTAATTATATTTTCATACCTATGACGTCAAAGAACATGAAATCCCCTTGAGTACGTGATTATAACAATTAATGAGATTTTGGAACCAAGTATTATATATGGAGTGTTGATGCCTCTGATTACCTATAGTGGATTCAGAAAAACACCACCCGGAATCTCATAGGCAATGATTGATGATCGAAATCCAAACTCCTTTGAAAAATCCACAACTAGCGCCTAAGACGATTCAACATTTAGAATGAGCTGATTCATGTCTGAAGATCCTGAACTACGAGCACGATAAATATACGAGCATAAGAGATCTGGTGCTTACTTATGTTGGCCCAAACCCCCTGTGCAAAGTCAATCCTGGAGCATCCTTTTCTTATCTATGATAGAAGCTCTACGCCTTGACTCGAAGTCAACTGAGAAAATCTAAACCAACTTTTTTTCAGTAGACTTTTTAGATGGTTTTACTGGGTTCTTGATACACTTGACGAAGAACACGCAATCATCCTTTTTCCCATTTATAAACGCCAAGATAGTAAAATGTGTTTTCCATAGGAGGAAAAAACCTTGCGGGCACATCGTGTCAGGCAATTTTGACCATTGTTAACAGCTTTCTTTTCTTCTGTCCTAGCAGGTGGCCCATCGAGCCATCATCAGGTCAAGCGATGAATGAATGCAGTAACCTTCTTCTTGGTCATAGCGTGTAATTTTCCACAACCACCAACAAGATTGACAGCCACTGCATTATTTTTGGCCGTAGGGAACACGTCGCGCGCGATGACCAGTTCATCCGTCTCTTGTAAAAAGTAAGAGTAAAATGCAAGATTTTTCAAGGTGTTCTTCAGCAGTCCCCAGATATTGGGGTCAGGGTTTCATCAATCAACCTGTGGGTTATATTATAATAGCTTGTTTGCAAATTGGCCTCTCTGTTTTTTTCTTTTTTCTTTTTTCTTTTTCTTTTTTTAATTTGACAATTGGGTTGGGCCGAGACATGCAATGTCTTCTCTCTTTTTCCCATTGAAAGCTCGGGCTGGGTGGAGACATGCAATGTCTGTTTCTTTTACTTTGAATACTTGGGCTGGGCCATCACAAAGCATTTGGAAGCCCATGAATATCATCTTAACTCTCCATATTTCGACCGCATTTGTAAGTCTTTTCATCCCTTTCCTATGGTCTCCATAAAAGTTCACAATAAATAGCCTGTTAATTTCAAATCTCATATTTCAACTGACTTATTTTTTATTTAAAAATATATTAAAATAATATTTTTTTAATTTTTAATATTAAAACGATCTAAAATCACAAAAAATAACTTGAAATCAAGAAAATATAAAATAAAAATTTAATTTTTTAAAAAAATATTCTTTTTTTTTTTTACGTGGGGTGTCCGGGCCAGTTTACGCGCACCATGACTAATCCCCACGGCCCATTGAACATCCTACAAGCCCAGTGAGTAGATAAGGTACCACGAGGGTGACAGGCATGTATGGTGAGGTTCGAATCCAGATGTGAAGGAAGGGGACAAACCCCTCCCAGCACCAAGCTATAACCTCACTTGCTTTATTATTATTCTTAATAACCATGTTCAATAACATTCTTCTTTATTATTATGACGAATGGGTTCAAGTTTGACTAAACTAATGTTTCATGCCATCCAATAACAAATTTAACACTAATATAATGGTACTTCAAAGTGAATATATCATATTTTTTATATCTATGAAAAATAACCTACTAAAAAAATTCAAAAAAATTATAAATAAATAAACAAATAACTGATTAGTTCCTGCTG